GTTTTTAAAGAAAAATATTTGAGGCCCTAATTCTGTGACTCAAATATGGTTCAAATGGCCAAAACGACATTTTGATGTTGTTTTGTACTCAAAACGACGTCGTTTTAGCCATTTGAACCACATTTGAACCACAAAATTTAGGCCCTCTACCAGGTTTTTAAAACGTATATAAGTTACGACATCTGTATTAATTCTTTGTATTAAGAAATTGCTTATATAAATTTATTGGTTTTTGTGCAATTTTTTTCATAAAGCTAACTTAAAAATTACCTTAATTTTTTGGGCAGACCAGAAATTTAAATTTAAATTTTCTTTGTGGGTAGGTCCAGCTACTCAAATACTTTGCCTATAAGAATAAACTAATATAAAAAGAGCAAACTATCCATGTATATATATATATACATGTTATACGGTATATCACAAACCTATTTTTTAGCCTCCTTTCTCTCTACCTCCCGTTGCCTCCTCTCTTCATTTTCTCTCCTCTCCCTCTCTCGCGGTCGCTCTACAACTGCCTCCCCCGCTTCCCTCACTTCCCTTCTCTCTATCACGATAGTGCCTTTTGAGATTAGAATCTCTTTCTCTCTCTGTTTGTTTGTCTCTCTCTCTCTCACACTTAGATCTCACAACTCACGTCGTTCTCCTCCATCGTCCACCGTCGCCAACCATACTGTTGCATTGAGTTTTGAAAATGAATCTACTAGTTTTATTGGTCAGCAATCACAGGAGATTGCTAAAAGTTGTGCTGATAGAGATGATGAAGCTCCTCATATGGCTTTGCCTTTTGCCCTTAGTTTTCTCGGTGTTCGGGATCTGCTTTCTGTGGTACGGGTTTGCAGATCTCTGCATTCAACTATTAGAAGTGATTGTTTTCTGTGGAGGAGCATCCACATAGATCAACCATTGAATCAGAGAATTAGTGATGATGTTCTTTTGCAATTAATTAACAGGGCACAAGGTAACGTATAGTGTTTGAGATTGATGGAGTGCCCAAGAAGCTCCTCATATGGCTTTGCCTTTTGCCCTTAGTTTTCTCGGTGTTCGGGATCTGCTTTCTGTGGTACGGGTTTGCAGATCTCTGCATTCAACTATTAGAAGTGATTGTTTTCTGTGGAGGAGCATCCACATAGATCAACCATTGATGTACATTAACAGTGATGATGTTCTTTTGCAATTAATTAACAGGGCACAAGGTAACCTATAGTGTTTGAGCTTGATGGAGTGCCCAAGGATCACTAATGATGGTCTGAAGCATGTGCTTGAAAGTAATCCTAGGAATCATCAATAGATCTGATATCTGAGTGTGTATATGTGTGTATATGAGTATGTATACTTATATACATGTATATATGTATCATGTCTTTGTCTCTATTGATGATGATGATGTTAGATTTGAAACATATCGTTGTTGTTGATAATGATCGCAACAGATAGACAGAATTAAGTCTGGTTTGATTGCTCTGCAAAAATTGTGTAGATATGAAAAACTGTAAAAATAAAATATGGATAGCAAATTTGTACAGATAAAAGTATTGAATAGATAAAAATTTGGACAGATAAAACACAAAAAAAAATGAACAGATAGAAACAATTGAATAGATGTACGAAAATTTGAACAGATAGTCAACGAAAGTCGAACAGATAAAAAAAGTCAAAAGGTAAAATTAAAAATAAAATGTCCTCCAGGACTTCTCACCAAACTATTTCATAAAGTGTGGACCTCTCACCAAAAAAAAAAAAATCACTGAAGCTAATGCCTCTGACAATTGCTTCAGACAATTGCTAGAGTGGATTTTTCACCAATTTTTTCTAATTTTTTGGGTGAAGTATCAATAAATCCTAAAATGTAATCTTGTGGATTAGTCTTTCCTTTTTTCTTATGAATCCAAAGGACTCATTAAAATAGAAATTACACAAAATGATAGTCACTTATATATTTGAGTTTAAATTTGAAGGATAAAAGTGGGTTTATTCAAATGTTAAATTACACATTTAAACAATTCACATTATAGAGGTTTTGGATTTTCTTTCAATTGTGGAACAAATATCACATTACGAACAACAACATAATACTCTGATGTAATATTTCAATAACGTAATAGTCCGATGTAACACACTAAAAAACTCCTTATGTATTTTTCACAAACATAACACTCTAATGTAACACACTCCAATGTAATACATAAAAAAAAACTCTACTTTTCTCAAATGTAACACTTCAATCAATATAATTCCAAACGTAACACTCCAATGCAATACATACAAAAAACTAAAAAACTCATTAGTGTACTGTTTTCAAATATAACACTCACTGTTTGAAATTAAACATTTGTCCAAAACTTACTAAGAAATTTTTTTTGTATTCCTTTTGGAATGGTTTGAAGAATATTTCTTTTTTTGAAGTGTTACATTAGAATGTTACGTTTGAAAAAAGCACACTAATGAGTTTTTTTGTGTGTTCCTTTAGAATGTTACACTAAGATTTTTTTTGGAATGTTATATTGGAGTGTTACATTTGAAAAAAGTACAAGGGGTTTTTTTTTAGTGTTACATTAAAGTGTTATATTTGAGTGTTACATTGGAGTGTTACAGTTTGAAATTATATATTTGTCGAAAACTTACTAAGAAGTTTTTGTACTCCTTTTGAAATGTTTGAAGAATCTCACATCTTTTTAGAATGTTTGAAAATTGAAGAATCACATATTTCAAGTAATTTTTGTACTCATTTTGAAATGTTTGAAGAATCTCACATTGCAAGTCATTCCAAATAAAAAAGATTCGCATATAAAATTTCATCTCAAATTTGATACACATAGGTTGTGTATCTTACCTTTCTAGCACAAAAAAGATGCAAAAAAAAAAGAAGGAAATGTAATAAAAATAAGGGTATAATCATAAATTTAATTTTTAAATAATATATTAAATCTACATTTTTAAAATCAATGGGACTAATTGGTCTATAAGAAAATCCTTGAAACTAAACAAATCACTATTTTTCAAGATAGAATTTATAGAAAAAAAATTATATTTTAATTAAAAAAATTATTTTTAATTATTTATTTATATCCATGCATAATACGGTAATATACTAGTAAATAATAATTCAAATTAAAAATAATAAATAAAAATGAAGCAAAAGTCACATGAAGTGAAAGTTTCAGGAGAAATGCTCTCCGTGATATATACCAGGTCTCATTTCTTTTTTCTTTAGGACCACTATATATATTATGGAAAATAAAATTTCATTAACGGTGAGATTACTTTCTTGCACCATACACTACAGGAAATGTCACTTTTGGCGATCAAAATATTGGTCGTCAAAAGTCTAATTTTTGGTTGCCGAAACAAATTAGCGACTAATATTTTTTGTCGCCAAAGTCGTCGCCTATAGCCTGTCGGCGATAGTATTGGCGACTAAACTATTTTTGGTCGCTGAAAGTGAATGTTTTGGCTACTAAACTCTGGTTAGTCGGCAAAGGTTATCTTTTGTCGCTGAAAGTGAACGTTTTGGCTACTAAATTTTCGTTAGTCGGCAAAGGTTATGTTTTGGCGACTAAAATATTAGTAGCCAAAAGTAAGCATTTGGCTACGAAACTTTGAGTAGTCAGGAAAGGGGATATTTTGGCGACTATTATTTAGTCGCCAAAAGTGTTCAAATAAAATTAATTAAATTTTCAGCGACTAAAACTTTTTGTCGGGAATAAGTTTTAGTCACAACATTACTACATTTAGGGACTAAAGAATTTAGTCGCCAAAAAAATTATTTTTCATTTTATTAAACTTTTGGCTACTAACCATTTGGTAGCCGAAAGTCTTCATTATATTTTTAACTACTAAATTTTTAATCACCAAAAATCTTTGGATTCTTTATGGCTACCAAATATTTAGTCACTAAAAATATTGATTTCCTTTTTGGCTACCAATTGGTTAGTCACTAACAAATTCACTTCTTTTTTTTTTCGCTACTAAACATTTAATTGCCAAAAACTTTATTTAGTGTTTTTTTTATTATAATTAATTTCTTCACAACCTGTATTTATTTCGTGCAACCTACACCCTGTATTTAAACAATAATTATACATATATCTATTTCTATTTCGTTTCAACAATACAAAAATTTGATCAATTAACATCAAATTCTATACAAATTAAATACAATCTATCCCAAAATATTAATTCCATACAAACACAAAATCATACAAAAAAGATGTCCTCTGTACAAAAAATTATACAGCAAATGTCATTTACAGAATATTTTGAAGGTGTAAACATGATGGGAAAATTAAATTTATTTACTAAAGCACTTGCTTAATTTAACAATGAAGCCATTGATCTAAAGGCTTCTCATCCTTCAAGCTTGCTTCACATAGTTTGGTACCTTTCTTTCTGAAGACACCAACTGCAAAATAATAATCAACCTCCCAATCAGCGGAAGTATTTAGCAAATAAGTATAGATAATTAAACAACTTAAATAGAAAGTTAATTAAATTGATGATTGGAAAGCTCTTGGAACGAGTGGATCAAAATTTCCAAGTAATATCAACAAATTTTGTTTTTGCTAGAACGAGATCCGCAAAGGCAAAAAGAAGATAAAAAATGAGAGATCCTGAGGTCAAATCCAAAATTTAATTCTTCTCAAGTTTGCAGTTACTTACATTTTTACTGATCCATAGATTTTCACTTCCATTACAAGTTAAATCATGAGTTATTAGAACTTGACAGGGAATGAGAATACTGCCAGAGAAAAGGATCTATGCACTTCAAATTTGAGACTAGTGTTAAAATTTCTTCCCATAACATCTTACACCAAGTTCTTCCCATAAAATGTCTTAACATAACATCTTCAATTGTCCTATATTTGTTAGTTATTTCGTCTTTATTATTTTGGAAACAGTACACATCGCAGTGTAGTCAAAAGATTCACCAATTTGAGCTGCAAATTTCTAGTTAATGCCAGCTACACCATCTAACAACATACCTCTCCAGCATAATGACAAATACCAAAAGCTCCACCTCTTTCTCCTTTAAAGCAAGGATTACCACTCAAGTGTTGCTTAAGCTTATTAGCAAAGGCCAAATCAGTGGCCTTGGGGAAATTTGAATCTTCATCCAACAAAGATATTAGCCCTATAGGTTTCTGCAAAATGCATAGCAGTGAAGCCATTAACACACAATCTACCACACATGAATGAGTGAATTTAAATATGAAAACCTATAATTAGGTTTCATATAACATGGTATGATAAAAAAGATGAGAACTTGGTGTATAATTATGCTTAGGAAGCAATATATTCAATCTTTTATTTTCTTTACAACTTCAGTTTATAAGAAACAATATTACAATAAGAACATGGTTTGAATTATGCATGAAAGGCTAACAAAAATAGTCAGAGACCTAGGACGACCTATGTGGTATGGCATCATATGTATATGAAATATAGTCCAATGCTCACATAGATCAGCACAAGGAACTCTGAAAAACTCGACAATGAACATGTGAGTGTGTGTGCGTGTGTGTGTTTGTGTTAAAAACAGAACTACCTTCTCAAAGAGATCCAAACACTCTTGGTTGTCTTCAAAATCTACTTTTGTCCAATCAATTCCATCTAATTCATACTCCTAAAAACAAAATAAACAAGTTGCAACATTAATATACTGAGACATTCAGTTGTCCTCATCCAAACACTGTTGATAACAGATGCAATTAAATTGGAACCTTTATTTATTAAGGTCATTAATCACAGATGCAAATGAAAGACAGGGGAAAAGAAATTAAGGAAAACCTGAATAGATGCAAATGAACTACAAATAATAATAATAACAATAATTGACTAACCATGAAAGAGATTATACAAAGCAATTCAAAATAACTATACCAATGCCATGACCCATGAGCATAACAATTCAGCGAAGTAAATACATTTCAAAATAATGCAAATAACCATGGAGGCATAGCAACATAATGACAATCATAAATGCAAAAAATCCAAGAATATATGGAAACCTAAAAGCATACTCTAAAAACATTAATTAAAACAAAAGACCAAGTTTGAAGCCATGCTCTCTCTCTCTCTCAATTAATCTATAACTAAGCTTGTTTAGTGTCCCAAATATTTGACATGATCTAATGGACTGACTCTAGTCTGGAAGGTTTGATGTCAAATCATACTAACACTATGTAAAGTTGATTTGCAATTAAGATGAATTCTTCTTTGAGGCATTTCATCAAACACCCTGTCCACCAAGGTTATTATATAAGAGCAACATAATAGATATATATATATACCTGTCCACCAAGGGATAATGGTCCATGTAACATAGGTGCAATGGAAAGGAAAGAAATAATACGTCAGGTAGTTCAAGTTAAAGCACTCCAAGGACCTCCATTTCAGAGCCAAAGCACTCAAACTCCAAAACTGTTTACAATTTTAGTGAAGTTTATACTTATTAATCACGAATTGAATGTTGACTAATCATATTCTATAACGAATATACTTGAGAAATAAAGAAATAAAATTTCAAATCCATTGGGCGTTGACTAATAACGAATATATTCTATAACGAATATATTCTATAACGAATTAAATGTTGACTAATCATATTCTATAACAAATATCATAGGGTTGTGTGTGTGTCTGTGTGTGTGTGTGAGAGAGAGAGAGAGAGAGAGAGAGAGAGACCGATTGGGCGTTATGGTTACAGTGCCATTATGTTGTAGTATTCCTATCAAAAAAGGCATAGTTCCTACATATACTCCCCAAAAAATACTAAATGTAATACTGAAATTGATGTTGAACTGAGCATTCCCATAGTGAGCAGTTTAACAATCATCATAAAATTGGCATGTTAAAATTTTCAATGTATTAAACAAAATGATACGCTAAGACTTAACCACAACCAACCCCAGCCACACTATCCCCATCCCACCAATACCTCTTCTTCCCTCACCAAGGCAGAGTTCTCATCCATAAGGCAGGGTAGAACCTCCATAGTTTAAACCTTGGTACTGAAACAAGCAGATTACATGAAACTCTTCTACAACTAAAATCTATATTGATTACATCTTCGTGTCAATGACTAGCCATTGCGAAAATTAATGAAAAGAATAGAGCACACATGCATGTACCATACATAGAAAAGAAAGAGAAAGAAAGCAACTTTCACTTACTTTTCACAAGCACCCTTCCTAAACTTTTCAGCCTGACAAATTTTTGCACCTCTGTCACACCACCTCTGTCACACCCTTCCTAAATGTAAATTTAACAATTCAAATTAAAAAAAAAATAAAGGAAAAAAAAAACACTAACAAAATTAATGTCCCCTATTTATTGTGTTTTCAACATTATAAATTGAATGAATCAAGATATGAATAGGATATATAAGATATTGAATGAATCAACACTATAGATATATATATATATATATATAGAGCAGTACCAGTATATATGTATATAGAAAGAACAAAGAGAGAGTGAAATTTCTACCTTGGCCCCTCCTAAGTATAATTTCTAATTCCACCCTTGATTCTGCCCTATGCGAAGGTATAGATGGAGTGTGGTAACTCTTCAATTCAATTCAGGTGCTCACAAGTTGTCATGACTTAAATTTTAAAATGTTAAGTGAAATCTAATTAACCTAAGCTTTAATTTTTTTATTATTAAAAACTCTAATTTTCATTCTTATTCATTTAATTCCATTACTAGAGTCAAATGTCAACTGAGGCAATATTTTATAACCTAATTCAATACTAAAAATTAAATGCATTAAGTAAAAATCAAATAAATCCATTTGATAAAATATGAAAGATTATTAGTTCGATCGAAAAGTTAAAGGTTAAGTTGGCAGAAAAGTCTTTCCAGATTAACCCAAGAAACTTGACAAAATCAATTGGATGACATAACACAAATAAGTTTCTTAACACTATGTATCTTGGATTTGTTAAGGGAAAAAAATGAAACAAAATTACTTATACCCAATTTCTTCTTTTTTTATATAAGGGGTACCTAGGCATAAAATTTAAAAATTTAAAAAAAATAAAAAATAAAAAAAGGATTTTCAAACAAATGCTTATTCAATTTCTTGTTAATTTTCTCAGCCACCCAAACAAAAGTAAGAAATTAGCTTCTCTCATTTCATTTCCTTTTCCTTTCTTTTCCCCTTACTTTTCCTTCCCCTTATAACAAATTCAAGATCCAAGTTTTTAGCAAAAGGAAAGCCACCAAAACTACAATTCATCATTATAACAAATGCACATTTTCTCAGCCAACCAAACAAAAGTAAGAAATTAGCTTCTCTCATTTCATTTCCTTTTCCTTTCTTTTCCCCTTACTTTTCCTTCCCCTTATAACAAATTCAAGATCCAAGTTTTTAGCAAAAGGAAAGCCACCAAAACTACAATTCATCATTATAACAAATGCACAATTATTCAATCACTCTAATTGCGTAAAGCAAATGAGCCAAAACCCCCAATAATCTACTTCCCCAAGAGCCCCCCCAACCCCCAACCACCCACCCACACACACACACACACAAAAGCAAATTCAATACATTATCATCAAGAAGCCTAAACATGAATTCAAAACTGAAATAATCCTGTAAAACTCAACATAATCAAATACCACTTTAGTCTACAATTAAGAAACAAGCAAACCCACAAATAAAATACCTTCTTTATCCGAGTCTTGACCTCGGATTTCCGAGCTTTGTTGTAGACACGCCTCTTCTCTGCTTGACGAGCTCTCTTCGCAACCGAATCGGCCTTCTTATTCGGAGCAGCTTCGCAAATAATCGAGTGACGAGTCGGCCTCACAACAGGGCTCATCGAAATCAAACCTGAAAATATTACCAAAAAACAATTTTTTAAAACTATTTAAGAACAAGCGTTTTGTGATTTGAGCTGAGAAAAGGAAAATACAGAGAAATGGGTTTTTGAGTAGTACCTGTGGAGAAGACATTGTGAGAAGTGGTGGAAGAGAAGCTTAGAGACCTGAGTGATGAAGTGGGTTTGGGGTGAGTAGAAGAATAAGGGTAATTGAGGGATAGGGTAATTGACGACGCTGCTTCGACGCCGCTCGCCGTCGATCGCGATAGAGAGAGAGAGAGAGAGAGAGAGAGGGGTGGGTAAGTAGAGATTGGGGATTTTTGGGTTTGAGATTAGGGATTTTTTTGGCGGGAATGGGAAAAAGAGGAGGGGGGTAGGGAACGGAAATGGGAAAAAAAAGAGGAGGAATAAAAAACAATTTTTTTTTAGTCACAAATGAAATTTAAATAATAAAATAATGTCGTTTATTTTATTTTATTTTTTTTTGCAGGGGTTGACATCGTCAAAAAAATTTATTTTTTGTTAAAATATATATTTTTTTGTAGTTAATAAATTTTGTTAAAAAAATTCCTTTTTTTTTTTAGTTACTAAGATTGCAAATTTATTTGTTTCATTTTTATTTTAATGAAAAAAATATTATTATTTTTTATTTGGTAGAAGTAGGGGTAATATTTTAATGAAAAATATTTTTCACTAAATAAAAGTTAATTTTCTGTAGTCAATGAAAAATATTTTTTTGAGGCCTATTTTTTTTTGTTACTAAAAATCATGAACTAATTTTTTGTGGTAGAGGAAAGGGAGCGGCAGTAGTAGTGAAGATGGTGGATAAGAGATGATGGTGGTGGTGATGGGGATGGCGAAAGAGATTAGTGGTGAAGTTGTGGTAGTGGTAGTGTAAATGGAGTGGCAAGGGTGAAAGAGAGGTAATGGTAGTAGTAGTGGTAGTGGTGGTAGTGGAGTGGTGGTGATGATAGTAGTAATAGTAGTCGTAGAGGTGAAGTGGCGATAGTGGAAGTAGTGGTGGGGGTGGAATGGCGTTTGTAGTAGTGGTGAAGGTGGTAGTGGAGATGGATGGTGAGAGAGAGAAATGAGTGAGAGACAGATAGAGGAGAGAGAGAGTGATGAGCGAGAGAGAGACAAAGTGGTCGCTAAAAGTGCATTTTCTTGTAGTAGATCGATAAATCAATAGGGAGCTCAGTAAATAGAGAGGATGAGAGTGAGAGAGTGAACAACGCAAACACAGTGGGAGAGAGAGAGAGAGAAAGAAAGAGATAGAGAGTGAGAGTGAGAGACAGAAAAGAGACATAGAGAGAAGAGAGATGGACGAGAGAGATAGAGAGAAGAGAGATGAGCGAGAGAGACATAAAGAGAATAGAGATGAACGAGAGAGACAGAAAGAAAGATAGAGTGAAGAGAGATGAATGAGAGAGACAGAGAAAGATGAGAGATGAGCGAGAGAGATAAAGAGAAGAGAGATGAGCGAAAGAGACAGAGAGAGAAAAGAGATGAGAGAAGAGATAGATGAGTGAGAGAGAGAGAGATAGACAGACAGACAAAAAGAGAAGAGTGATGAGTGAGAGAGAGAAAGAGAAGAGAGAAAGAAATATGAAAAAATGAATGAAAAGATATAGACAGAGAGAGAGAGGGCGAAAAGAGATAGACGAGAGAGAGATAGAGAAAGATGAGCGAGAGAGATAAAGAGAAGACAGACAGAGAGAGAAGAGAGATGAGAGAGATAAAGAGAAGAAAGATGGACGAGAGACACAGAGAGAGAGAGAGACAAACAGAGACAGAGACAGACAGACAGACAGACAGAGAAGAGTGATGAGTGATGAGTGAGAGAGAGAAAGAGAAGAGAGACAGAGACATAGAGAGATAGAAAGAGACAAATAGACAAAGAAAAGTGATGAGTGAGAAAAAGAGAGACAAGAGAGACAGAGACACATAGAGAAAGAGAGAGACAGACAGACAGAGAAGAGTTATGAGTGAGAGAGAGAAAGAGAAGAGAGACAGAGACATAGAGAGATAGAAAGAGACAAATAGACAAAGAAAAGTGATGAGTGAGAAAAAGAGAGACAAGAGAGACAGAGACACATAGAGAAAGAGAGAGACAGACAGACAGAGAAGAGTTATGAGTGAGAGAGAGAAAGAGAAGAGAGACAGAGACATAGAGATTTAGTTCACTCACATGGGAAGGATGATATACTGGAATTGGTAATTCTATATACCCAAAGTGACCTGAAAGGTAAAAAAATGAACAAAATCCAAAGTTGTTCAACCAGAATGGTCACAAGATCCAAAGTTGCACTTAATCAAATGCCAATTGTAGGAAAATTTGTTCGGAAGGAGGTTTACATCCATCACAAGATCTAAAATAAGTCTGGAACAATATTAGGACTCAAATCTTCTAGGGCCCAGTTTTTTTTTTAAA